TCCTCAAGTTTCTGTACATGTAGGGTTAGGTTCTTTGAATGTTCCCATCTTTCTTAGGTAGGCCTGTATTGCTATGAAGTTCCCTCTCAGGACTGCCTTTGCTATGTCCCATAAGTTTTGGGTTGTTGTGAGTTGATTTTCATTTGTTTCCAGAAACTTCTTGACTTCTTCCTTAATTTCATTCTTGACCCATTCGTTATTTATTAGCATGGTATTCAATCTCCATGATTTTGAATGTTTTGGGTCTTTTCTCCAGGAGTTGGTGTCCAGTTTTAGTCCCTTGTCTTCTGGTAAAATTCTCGGGGTGATTTAGTTTTCTTAAATTTGTTCAGGCTTGTTTTGTGTCCTATTGTGTGGTCTGTCTTTGAAACTGTTCCATGTGCATTTGAAAAGAATGTGTATTTAGCTTCTTTGTGGTGAAGGGCTCTATATATATCAGTTAAGTTCATTTCATCTAGGGTGTTGTTTAATGCTACAATATCTTTGTTGATAATTTGTTTGGAAGATCTGTCCATTTTTCATACTGGGGTGTTCAAATCCCCCACTATAATTGTGTTGCTGTCTATATCTTTCTTGAATTCCTCTAAGATTTTCCTTATATATTTTGGTGCTCCTATGTTGGGTGCATATATATTTAGGATGTTAATGTCTTCTTGGTGGATTCTTCCCTTGAGTATTATGAAGTGACCTTCTGGGTCACTCTTTATGGCTCTTTTTTTTGAAGTCTATTATGTCTGATATGAGAATTGCTACCCCAGCTTTTTTTTCTTGTCCATTTGCTTGGAAAATTTGTTTCCAGCCTTTCACTTTTAGTCTGTGATGGTCTTTTGTCCTGAGGTGGGTCTCTTGTAGGCAGCATATGTGTGGGTCATACTTTCTTATCCATGCAGCTATTCTGTGTCTTTTGTTTGGAGCATTTAAACCATTTACATTTAAGGTTATTATTGATAGGTACTTATTCATTGCCATTTTTGTACCTGTGTTCCTCTCTGTCTGTCTCTTTTCTTTCCTTTCCTTAAAGCAGACCTTTTAGTGTTTCTTGTAGAGCTGGCTTGGTGGCAGCAAATTCTTTTAGACTTCTTTTGTCTTGGAAGCTCTTTATTTGGCCTTCTATCTTGATTGAGAGCCTTGCTGGGTAAAGTAGCCTTAGTTGTAGGCCTCTGTTTCTCATTATTTGGAATATTTCTTGCCATTCTCTTCTTGCTTGAAGTGTTTCCATTGAGAAGTCAGTGGCTAACCTTATTGGGACTCCCTTGTATGTTATTTCTTTTTTCTCCCTTGCTGCCTTTAAGATTCTCCCTTTGTCTTGGAATTTTGCCATTTTAATGATGATGTGTTTTGAAGTGGGCCTCCTTGGGTTCCTCTGGAATGGGACTCTGTGTGATTCCTGGATTTGTGTGACTTTTTTTTTTATCAAATTACGGAAATTTTCTCTCATTAGTCTTTCAAATATGTTTTCTATGCCTTGTTCTTCTTCTTCTCCTTCTGGTATTCCTATTATTTGGATATTATTACGTTTCATATTGTCTTGCTTTTCTCTTAATCCCTCTTCATTCTTCCTGAGCCTCTTTTCCCTTTCCTGTTCTTTGTGTGAGATGCTTTTTACTTTGTCCTCCAATTCACTAATCCTATCTTCTGTTTCATCTACTCTATTTTTAATGCTTTCTACTGTGTTTTTTAATTCAGAAATTGTATTCTTCATTTCCTCTTGGCCCTTGCTAATAATTTCCATTTCCTTTTTCATGTTGATATAGTTTGAGGTGAGATCATTATAGCTCCCCTGTAGTTTCTGGTAGCTGATTGTGAGCTGTTTGAACTTCCTGATAACCAGTGTTTTGAATTCAGAATCTGATAGTTTACTTACCTCTATTTTATCTAACATTCTTTCTTAGGATTCCTTCTTTCCTTTCATTTGGGGATTGTTTCTTTGTCTTCCCATTGTTTATGAGACTCTTCTTGTTAGCCTCAGCTTCTTAGATTAATCTGTTTTGACACCCTGCGTTTATGGTGTGAACTTTTGTAGTGGAATGCCTGTGAATTTCAGTGGTGCAGTCTTTTTTGGTTATCCTGTTATTCTCTGCTTCCACCTACTCAAATATGCAGCAACTTTTGGCTTCTCTCCTACAACAATGTGCAATTTCTCTCTGACTCTACTATTGGGAGGCCTCTTCTATGGGTCCAGCTCTGGTCTTTTCATATTTTCAAGTTGATTGTGACTCTTGTGGGTAAAAGAAATAAATGACAAGGAAAGAAATAAAAGGAAGAAAGAAAAAAATGGTAGGGGAATGGAAGAAAGAGCAATAAGTTTAGAAAGAAAAGAAAAAGAAATAGAAAATCCGGGAAAAGAGGACAAAAGTATGGAAAGATGAAACAGTAATAAAATAAAGAAATAACAGATTACTTTAAAAAAGCAAAAAGATAAAGAAAAGGAATGGAGAAGGAAGAGAAGTAAAAAAAAAGAATAAAAATAAAATAAAGTAAAGTAAAAAAAAAACAAAAAACGCACAAACAGACTTCCGCCAAGATGGAGGCATAGGTGGATATCCGTGCCTTCTCACACAACCAAGTTTAGAGACAACTTTAAATTAGCAACTGAAAACACAGCCAGAACATAGAAAATTGAACTTTTCGGAAGTCTGTTAACAACAAATTCTTCAGTCTGACCGGTAAAGAGCGAAAACCAGTAGCTGGTGGAGCGGGGTTGCACAGGAGGGCTCGGTCAGACGGACTGAGGTGTGCAGAATCCAGGCGCAGGGTTGGACCTAGTGACCGACCGAGCAAGCCACTAAGCGAGCAACTGCGGGGAAGCAAAGAGGACACAGGGCTGCGGGTTGACTGTGGTCCCGCATTTGTGCACGGGTAGACAGGTAGGGGAGTGAGCAATTGGACCTGGGACCACGGTCCCCGTGGCAAGCGGCAGGGAGGGCGCCACCATTTCCCTGCTCTGACCCCACCTCCACATACAGCATCATAACCCAGCGACTCTGAGTGGCCCGGCCCTGGTGAACCACCTAAGGCTCTGCTCCTACCCAGCAGTGCAAAACATCAGAGGGTGCCACCATTTTCCCCGCTCTGACCACGCCCCCACATACAGCATCACAACCCAGTGACCTGGGAGTACAAGGCTCCGTTCCTCACACTTAAAGGGCACGAACAGACCAAAAATGGCTCAAGAAGATCTCAAAGTCCTGGAACCTATAAATCTAAGCAATGAAGAAATAGCAAAACTCTCAGACACACAGTTTAAAACACTGGTGATCAGGATCCTCACAGAACTGGTTGATTATACCGACAAATTAGACAAATATATGAAGGCGAAACTAATTGAAATGAATGGAATTGCACAGGAAACCAATAGCAATGAAAAGGAAACTGGGACTCAAATCAATGGAGTGGACCAGAAGAAAGCAAGTAATGGCCAAACAGAAAAGATTGAAGAAGCAAGAATTCAAAAAAATGAGGAGTGTCTTAGGAACCTTCAGGATATCTTTAAACTCTCCAACATCCAAATTATAGGGGTACCAGAAGGGGGAAAGGCACAGCCACCAGTGGAAAACTTATTTGAACAAATAATAAAGGAGAATTTCCCCAATCTGGCAAAGGAAATAGACTTCCAAGAAATCCAGGAAGCTCAGAGAGTCCCAAAGAAGTTGGACCCAAGAAGGAACACACCAAGGCATATCATAATTAAATTATCCAAAATTAAAATGAAGGAGAGAATCCTAGAAGCAGGAAGAGCTAAGGGGACAGTCACCTACAAAGGAGTCCCCATCAGACTGTCAGCAGATTTCTCAAAAGAGACCTTACAGGCAAGAAGGGGCTGGAAAGAGGTATTCCAAGTCATGAAATCCAAAGACCTACAACCAAGATTGCTCTATCCAGCAAAACTTTCATTTAGAATGGAAAGACAGATAAAGTGCTTCTCAGATAAGATCAAATTCAAGGAGTTCATCATCACCAAGCCCTTATTATATGAAATGTTAAAGGGACTTACCTAAGAAAAAGAAGATAAAAAAGATGAACAGTGAAAGGACAGCAAACTCACAGTTACTAAGAACCACACCTAAAACAAAAACAAAGAGGACATCTAGATCAGGAGCAGAACCATAGAAATGAAGATCACATGGAGGGTTAGCAACAGGGTAGTGGGAGAAGGAGAAGAGGGGAGAAGGTACAGAAAATAAGTAGCATAGATGGTAGATAGAAAATGGGGGGAGGGCAAGAATAGTAGGGGAAATATAGAATCTAAAGAACTTGAGACACGTGGTCATAAACTAAAGGGAGGGATTGGGGGAGGGGCTGTGCAGGGTGGAGGGGAACGAAAGGGGGAAATAGAACTGTAATGGCATAATCAATAAAATATATTTAAAAAAAGAAATACATATACACATCATGTGTATGTGTGTATGTTTCTATATTTATATGCACTTACACCCACACAGACATACACTTATGAATTTATATTAAGAAATAATGGGAGGATAAACCATAAAATAAATTCTCCAAAGCGATTAAACCATTTTCACTCCCACTACAATGTACAAGAGTGTCATTTGCTCCATATCCTCCCCATTTGGTGCTGTTAGTAATTTTGATTTTAACTGTCCTGGTGCGTATGGAATGTTATATTATGGTTATTTTAATTTACATTAAATCATGTTGAGCCCTTTTACACATACCTATTTGCTATTCTTGTATCTTCTTTGCCATTCCTGTATCTTCTTTCACCCATTAAGTGGGGTTTATTAGCCAACCCATTTTTAAATTTTAGAAACTTGCATTCATTCTGAATGTATTTTCTTTTTCAGATATATATGAAGATATCCTCTTCTACTATTTGACAATAACATGAGGATATTATATAGAGAAAATATTGGTACATTTAATATTTCTAAACTGGCAATTTTGGAAGGAAATGAAAGTAATTAGTATTCAAAACACAGACTTTATAGTTTTAAATTTAATGCAAATATTACATTCTATTCTGTTTTTGGTTTCAGGTGCAGTTAAAATCTAGCATTTCTAGTCAGTATGTAATTCGGATGCAACCAACTAATAGATGCCTGTCTACTCTGGAATGTGCAGCTGTTGCTCTTTCCATTTTGGAGAAAAACAACTGTATACAAGAGGTATGTATGACTTTGCAAAATTATGTAGTTTTTGGAAGTAGGAGTTCAGTTAGATTTTATATAGAAAATGTAGAAACGCACAGGTTGTTAAATTGGTAGTTCAAGTGAAAACTAGAATGTATCTGTGATAGAGATTTATGTACGTTGATAACCTTTTCATCTATGGTGTTTTTCTGTTAGTTTAGCATTCCAGATTTCATTATTTAAAATTATTTATATAGTATTCTAAGCTGTGCAAAACATTTGCAATATGCTAAATTACACTTAAGAATCACAACAGTAAATACAGGTTTTAGGGGGGCTAGATTTTTCTTCTAGTATTTTGTATTACCTTTTTAGTATTCATTCTTCTGTACACAGCTTTTTTCTTTTTAATTAAAAGAAGGACTTTTTTGCATTGTTTCTTTTATTCGAAGAGTTATACCAACTTCCTGTTTCTTATCAACCATGCTTAAAGTGTAAAAAAATATAAAACTTTTTGACAAAAACACTTGCATGTATGAAAAGATTATAACCTACAATCATCATTTTACTTTTCATGAAAGTCTGATGATTCATATGTAATTAAAAATCATCACTAAAGAATAATATTTTATTGTGCTCATTAACATATTAAACTTTGGAATATGTAAAAAAAACTTTGCACTCTGGCAAAAGAAAAAATGGCAAAATAAAACATTGTTAGGGTTTTTATGCTCACTGAAAGGTTTTGATAAATACAACTAAAAAAAGTCAGAGGATAATGAATATAACTAAATGAAGTTTTTAACACACACCAAGTATTCTTTCCTGCCTTCTTTCTCTCTCTGTCTCTCACTCACTATGCACTGTGGTTACTATTATGTAAGAGGGTGCCTTAGCCATGAAGGGAATTTCAATGATGTATAAAAGCTCAGCTCATAGTAACTCGGCTAATTACCAAGCAAAAACCACAAAAGGCCTTTAGAGCAAGGAGAATTAAAAAAGTCCAGGAGCAAGCATTTATTTGTCTTCGCCTCTACTCTTCTGTACCCTGGCATGGAAAGTGTTGGAGTTGCAGACATTTCTTCTTTTGATGAAAGATGTGAGCTTTCATGGGTAGGATTTCTGTATGTGTGTGTCAATGTAAGTTGACTTTGTTTTGGATCTAGGCAGTTTCACTTTCTCTGTTCCTCTTATTTGAGAAAAATATTCATGAGGGACCCTAGATCCTTACCCCAAATGACTGGGAAGTGTTTTCAGACTTTTCTACCTCCATTCTAACCTTGTTACCTTCTTCTATGTACCTGACCATCAACATATAACACTTAATATACTGTCATACTTGTCTTTTTTTTCTATTTACCATTTTTCCTATAATTTCATGAGAGAGAGAAAAAAAACAAAAAAATAAACTATACTATATTTAGGTGTCTTAGTATTGTTTAAGCTTGTTTTCCATACAGTTTCTGTGTTTCCCTTTTTGTTAATGGAAAACTCTATGATCAACTACCATCAGACCAAGGACCCATTAAAAGTTCAAATATCGAGGGGACAATATAATATTCTTTGGCTATAGGTTTAAAATTTTCCTCACCTTCTTTTGGGTTCTGAAAAGAATACTCTATGGACAGACATCCTTTATTCCCACAATTAGAATTCAATCTTTACTACAATCCTAAACAAAAGCTTTAATGTTGGTATTGGTGGTTTGATAACTAATAGGGTGAGGTTCAGGATAGGGTTTGTACTAGTGCTACTGCTAACTAATGCTGCTGTTGCTTCTTCTTTTTACAGTTTTGCAACATATATTATTCTAGCATTAATTAATATACCATTATAGCAGGAAACCTATCTTATGTTCTGAGTATAGCATCTAACAACAAAGTTTAAGATACAGAATGGAGACATGCCCCTTCATCTCCTCAGCTTTTGTTATTGTTATCTATGAATAAAATTCAACATAAAATCCCAAATTAATGGTGAGGTCCTAGAGTTCTCATTCTGTTTGCTTTTGTCAGCAGGAATAGTCATACTGTAGTCATCAGGAGTAGGAAAAGAATATTTGACAATCAGACTTATGATTTGGGAGGTGCTTTATAAGATAGTCGGCTGGAGTATGAGCTGAAGAAATGCATAATGAAACATCCCAAGTTACTTATTATTACAGATGGCAAAAATTTAGCTTTCTTAGTGAGGGAACCCCAAGTTCAGCCTAGTCAAATCTAGCTATAAAAATGGTACATTCCTCTGAAAAACACAAATACTGTCCACACTAATAGGTGTTTTCTTTCTTTCCTATGGAGGAAATCTATGCCATACATTTTCCCCCAATAACCTTTAATTAGTACCATCATCATAAAAACCTTAAGATGATGGGGAAATTAGTAATTTTTCAACTGGCTTCATTCTATAGAGGTAGGGCTCCTGAAAATAATAGCTTTCTTAGTCTATGGATTCATCCTCATCCTTTTTTCTTGAGCAGTTTTTCAGACATTTGAGGTAGCATGATATGAGCTTTGAATTAGGTTTGAATTAAAACTTCATCATTTATCATCATTATTTTTTTGCCAGTGGGCAATTCATGTAATCTTTTTGTGCTTATTTTCTTATCTATAATATAAAAAAAAGTTAACCTCATAGTATTGTTGTGAGAATTGAATGGGATAATGTATGTTAACTGTGTGATGCCACACACTCAAATAGTTAATCATTTTGCCCTTTCTTGCCTTGCTGATTGGATCAACAAAAAATTTGAACTGAAAGTTGGTGATTTTAATTCAGCTACAGTAATGTTTACTAGGGCTTTTCATGCCCTGGAAGTCTTGAGCTTGGGAAAGTTTTTTACTATAGAACCATCTATACTTATGAAGTTTTACCTTGTGAACGTTTTAAAAAGATTTAAACCTCTACTCAACACCAGTATTTGGTAATAATGGTCCCATGAAAACTCACTTTGTACCTATAGACAAAAGGATTTACAAAACTTTGGCATTACCTTCAAATAACCTTTTTGTAACTTGCTAATTTTGTAAGAGGATTTTTTTTCCTCAGAACAAGTCCATATCTCATGTAGCTTCACATTGCCTCAGATATGTTTGAAATATTGTCATTTATTATCAAGTAGTATGCCAAACATTTTAGTGTATCATCTTAGTGTATCATAATAACAACCTTATAAGGTAGACATTATTTTCCTCATTTTACAAATAAAGAAAATGAGCCAAAGAGAGGTTATGTCTGAGGACATATAACTAGTACATGATTACATCAGTCAAGATAGGCTAGATTATTGTGACCCAACAATTCTACTTCCAGGAATATATGTGAAGAAATCTGAAACACTAATTCAAAAGGATATATGCACCCCCATGTTTATGGCAGCATTATTTACAATAGCCAAGATTTGGAAGCAGTCCACATGTCCATCAGAAGATGAGTGGATAAAAAAAGCTGTGGTACATTTACACAGTGGAATACTACTTGTCTGTTAAAAAAAAAAAAGGAAATCTTACCCTTTGTGACAGCATAGATTGACCTGGACAGTGTTTTGCTGAGTGAAATAAGCCAGTTAGAGAAAGACAAATACCATATAATTTCACTCATATGTGGGATTTAATGAACAAGATAAACTAACAAAATAGAAACAGACTTATAGAGAACAGACTGACAGCTGTCAGAGGGGAAGTGGGTTATGGGGCTGCATGAAAAAGTTGAAGGAATTAAGCAAAAAATAAGAATTTTAAAAAACCCTAAAAAATATAGACAACAGTTTGGGCAGAGGGAAAAGCAGTATCGGCCAGGCACTCCAGGTTTGCAAAGGTTCCCCGTGCGTCTGGGCTCTCAGGCACCCAGCAGGCACCCGCCCCACCTCCACGATGCCCAAGAGGAAGGTCAGGTGAAGGAGGAGCCCAAGAGAAGATAGGCGAGGTTGTCAGCTAAGCCTCCTCCTGCAAAAGTGGAAACCAAGCCAAAAAAGGTGGCAGGAAAGGATAAACCTGCAGACAAAAAGGTGCAAATGAAAGGGAAGAGGGGAGCAAAGGGAAAACAGGCCGACCTGGCTAACCAGGAACCTAAGGAAGCTCTACCGGCAGAGAACGGAGAAACTGAAAACGAGGAGAGTCCAGCCTCGTATGAAGCAGGAGAAAAAGAAGCCAAGTCTGATTAATATCATATATCATGTCTGATCAGTGGTCCCTGTCTCCCTTCTTGTACAATCCAGAGGAATATTTTTATCAACTATTTTGTAAATGCAAGTTTTTTAGTAGCTCTAGAAACATTTTTAAGAAGGAGGGAATTTCTCCTCATCCCATTTTTTTTAAGTGTAAATGATTTTTTTTAAGAGGTGAAATCATTTGCTGGTTGTTTATTTTTTGGTACAACCAGAAAATAGTGGGATACTGAATATGGGAGGCTTTGATTGTCTTGGGTGCCGGCTAAACATTCCATAGATAGGGGTCATTTTTATATCCTGTAATACAAAGCATACTAAATGGCAATTTGGAGTCAGTTGTGCATTTACTATGTCTCGAGCATTTAAAATTACTTCTATTCCCATGTTTTTGGTAGAAGTGTTTCCTAAATAAAACCACTCCTTGATCTTGGCTCCCCCCATCAGAACTTTGTGCACTCTGTAACATCTTGTGGTAGTCCAGTGTTCCTAGTAACCTCGTTAATGTGCTGTGAAAGATTGAAAATTCAATTATGTAGTATATATATTAAATTGTAAATTAGTTGGGCTTTGATGTAACAGCATATCAACATTTACAGATATTGGTACTTGATACTCTATTAAGGAAATTAGTCCCCAAATTTTAAGCTGGAAAGTCACTGGAATCATAACTACATGACTTTACATTTTTTGGTACGTATGTTAAAAACTGTGTGCAAATTGAAATGTCTGTGTACTTCAGAACAACCAATAAAATCTCAAGAAAAAAAAATACAGACAAGAGCATTGTGACTACTAGAGGAGAAATGGGGAGGGAGGAGTTAAAAAGGGTAAATGGGTAAACAGGGCATAAATGGTGATGGAAGGAGATTTGACTTGGAGTGATGAACATACAATGCAATATACAAATGATGTGTTACAGAATTGTAGACCTGAAACCTATATAATTTCACTTTCCAATGTCACCTAAATAAGTTCAATTTTTTTAAAAAAAGATGAACTGAATTAGGCTGCAATAATTTAAAACCCCCAAATTAGAATGGCATAGTACAACAAAGGTTTATGCCTCTCATGTCTGTCCAGTGGGATTTCCAGGAGGATCTCTTCTCATTGCAATCACTTAGGGACCCAAGCTTATGGAGATATTCTTGAGACATTTCATTCTACTTTCTTGAAGGAAAAAATAAGGGGAGGTGGTGAATCATATACTGAGTTTGAAGTTTCTGCCCAGAGATGGCACACATTATTTGTGCTCACATGTCATTAACCAAAGCTACTTATATAGCCATGTCTAACTTCAAAGGGGACTAGAAAATCCAATCTGATCATGTACCAGGGAGCACTGGAATATTTGTGAATAGCCCTACTGAAAACCACAGAGACGGAGCGGGGAATCTCATTCAGATCTATCTCCAAACTTCCTTCTCTTAATTACCTCAGAAAGTTAATAGATGCTTATTTTCAGGAGATAAAAGTTAGAGGCCCTTAACCATAGGAATATTAATGTTCTCCTGTCCATGAAGAATTTGATGTCATAAAAACCTTTAATTGTCTCAGTCTGTATATGGTCCTAGATGTTTCCTAAGTACAGTGATTCATAATTCAGTGATTTGGACTTCTGCCAAGATGGAGGCATACGTGGACACACTGTGCCTTCTCACACAACCAAGTTTAAAAACAACAAACTTACCAACAAAAACACAACCAAACCACAGAAAATTGAACTATATGGAAGTCTGACAACAACGAACCCTTCAGCCAAACTGGTAAGAGGGGCAGAGCCAGCAGCAGAGCAGGGTTGGGTAGGAAAGATCCACCCGACCAACCTGGGCACACGACCCAGGCGTGCTGGCAGCCATGGACGGATCCCAGGTGTGGAGCAGCAGGTGGACCCACTGAGGGTGCAAGGCAGCAGACCCACTAAGGGCTGACCGCGGTCACACATTCGCACACAGATGAACTGGTGAAGAAGTGAGCAGTGAGATGGACCATGCAGGCCCCAGCAGCGAGAAGCGGCAGAGGGGACCACTGTTGTCCCTCTCTGACCCTGCCCCCACATACAGCATCACAAACCAGCAACCTGGGTGGCCCCGCCCTGGTGAACAACTAAGTCTCCGCTTCTCATATGTAACAGACACGAACGAGATCAAAACATGGCTGAAGAACAACTCAGAGCCCCAGAGCCAATAAATCTAAGCGAGGAAGAAATAGCCAAACTGTCAGATGCACAGTTCAAAATACTGGTGATCAGGATGCTCACAGAACTCGTTCATTTTAGTCACAAATTAGAGGAACATATGAAGGCTAAACTAATTGAAATGAATGGAAATGCACAAGAAATCAATAGTAATGGAAAGGAAACTGGGACTCAAATCAAAGGAGTGGATCAGAAGGAGGAAAAAAATGACCAAACAGAAAAGGATAAAGAAACAACAATTCAAAAAAATGAAGAGAGGCTTTGGAACCTCCAAGACATCTTTAAATGCTCCAACATCCAAATTATAGGGGTACCAGAAGGGGAAGAGGAACAGCCAGCAGTGGAAAACTTATTTGAACAAATAATAAAGGAGAACTTCCCCAAGCTGGCAAAGGAAATAGACTCCCAGGAAATCCAGGAAGCTCAGAGAGTACCAAAGAAGTTGGACCCAAGAAGGAACACACCAAGACACATCATAATTATATTAGCCAAGATTAAAATAAAGGAGAGAATCCTAGAAGCAGCAAGAGATAAGAGGACAGTCACCTACAAAGGAGTTCCCATCAGACTGTCAGCTGATTTCTCAAAAGAGACCTTACAGGCAAGAAAGAAGTATTCCAAGTCATGAAATCCAAAGACCTACATCCAAGATTGCACTATCCAGCAAAGCTTTCATTTAGAATGGAAGGAGAGATAAAGTGCTTCTCAGATAAGATCAAGTTCAAGGGGTTCATCATCACCAAGCCCTTATTATATGAAATGTTAAAGGGACTCACCTAGAAAAAGAAGATAAAAAAGATGAACAGTGAAAGGACAGCAAACTCACAGTTACTAAGAACCACACCTAAAACAAAAGCAAACTAAGGGGACAGCTAGATCAGGAGCAGAACCATAGAAATGAAGATCACATGAAAGGTTAGCAACAGGGGAGTGGGAGAGGGAGAATGGAGGAGAAGGTACAGAAAATAAGTAGCATAGATGGTAGGTAGAAAATAGATGGGGGGGAGGGCAAGAACAGTAGGGGAAATATAGAATCTAAAGAACTTGAGACACATGGTCATAAGCTAAAGGGGAGATGGTGGGGGAGGGGTGTGCAGGGTGGAGGGGAATGAAGGGGGGAAATAGAACAACTGTAATGGCATAATCAATAAAATATATTTTTTAAAAAAGAATTCAGTGATTCTACTATGTTGAGTCTGTAATGTAATATATAGTTCTTTCCACATTTTCTCTCTTGTTTGAAGAAATGAAGATATTAAAAGAAATTATGAGAACACATATACGGAACTTTCTACAGCAGTATCATGCAGATTTTCCAAGATATTTGTCTTTTTCTTATGTAATAGAGCACTTACTGTAGTAGTTGAACCATGTAGGAATTCCTTTTTTTAGGAATTCCTGTAGGTAAGAAGTGCCAGGGCTGGGATGCATCAGCAACCTAGATTTTTCCTGTCTTTCTGTTCATCATCATATATATTTGGTTTTAATCTTCATATTTATTGCCCTGTAGACACATGTTAGAGGTTATTCCACCTCTAACAATACTGTTTCAGTCCAGAAGAAAGAGCAAGCCTCTGCCTGCTGAGTCTGTCCCATTTTAAAAAGACTCTCCAGAAGCCCCACTTAAGGACTTACACATATATCTCATTGGATAGATTGTGTCATTACCCCATGCCATATTACTAGCTAGACACATTGACACCTTGAATAAAATTTTTAATTTTTTTAATAAGGAAGAAAAGAATGGGTGAATTATGAAGAAGCAACTACCAGTGACTGCTTAAAATTTATAAGAATTTATTGTACATTAAAGCTATTAAGCCCTTTTTACTTCTTGTGTTGTATATGTGAGGGAATAAATTTTCACAGACATTTTGAACTTTTTGTAGTTAAATATATTATTTTTTTGTTCTTTTTCTTCTTTTTTTTTTTTTACCATTATAAACCTATTTCTGCAAAATATATTATTTTCTTTTTTTTTTTTTTTTTTTTTTTTTGAGTAACTATGGCATTTTATTTTATACTCTAAAAGCAACTGGAATGACCATGTAGACATTTTGGGTGATTATCAATTATTTTTTTTAAATTTATTTATTTATTTATTTATTTTTTAAATTTTATTTAGTTATTTTTCAAGTACAGTTTTTTGTCTATTTTTCCCATCCCAGCCTCCCCCGCCCCTTGCTCCCCACCTCCCTCCCATTTCCATCCCCCCCCCAGTTCTCGTCCCTGTGTCCTTCCTATTTGTTCCTCCAAATCCTTCCCCCCTTTTCCCCTTAACTTCCCTTCCTTCTCCCCTCTGGTCACTGTCCCCTTGTTCTCTATTTCAGTGTCTTTGTTTTTTGGGTTTTTTTTTTTTTCTGCTTGCTTGTTTGTTTTGTTGTTTAGCTTCCTGTTAAAGGTGAGATCATATGGTATTTGTCTTTCAATGCCTGGCCTATTTCACTCAGCATAATGCTTTCCCTTTTTCTTCTTTTTTTAAACAATGTTCTCAATCAAATGTTGCTATTGTTATCTTAAAAATTTAGATAAGGGTTCTCAGGCTCAAGGAAAGAATCTGACTCAAAATGTGTTTAAAACACTGACATCTCTGTATAAAAAATAGTATATTGTTTTTATTTTTAAAATTTTTAATTTGAATAAGTGTAGGAAAGGCATAATGATCCCATTTTTTTTACAACCTCCACTGTTCTTCGTTACCCTATGAATCCACCCAGTTCACATACTTACATTAAATGGCTGGCCCTGTAGGTATTTAAATTTAGACTGGTACATATAGAGTGAGAATTATTTCAAATGCAATAAAACCTGGATATCTAACTTTTATGTAGTCCATGGACTACTTGCATTAGTAAACTATTTACCCATTACTGTCATCATGTAATTGTTATCAGGTAGCGGGAAGCTTGCAGCCTTCTGTGATTGAAAAATGAATCAACTAAATTTCTTGCAGTCTCTTTGTTACAGATCAAATTATAATGGCAACAGTTTTTAGTGGGGTTTAAATATTTTAATGTATAAAGCTAAATTTGGACTTTATCACCTATATGGAAAATCAATTTGTGTCTTTTCACTGGAGTTACTTAGTGCTATATAAGGTATGAATTTAAATAAGTTATTAATTTAGTAATCATCATATATTTTAGGGTAACTGTTGCTCTTCATAGTTAAAAGGAAATCTTCATCATCATTATCATGCTTGTTTCTGATCTAGATAGAAAACCATGACTTGCCACAGACGCATTTTTAGGTCTTTCTTTTTATCTTGACAGACTTTGCTTCGTCCTCTTCAAGCTTTATGCTCTTTCCAGCTTCAGCATGGTGCTCGAATTCGCCTCAGCAAGGAACACCTTCTGAAAAGTGGATTATATCCTAAATCAATGCCAAAGAACAAACGCAAACTCAGGAAAATGGAACTGTTAATGAACAGTGTTAAAATTTAGTACAAAGGTTCTTACAGTGCTACTTACGGTGTCTTTGGCTAACAGTATCAGATGAAGTTCTCATACAATTTAAGTCTGTGGGTTTTTTGAGTGTCTAAAGAATGAGGATTGCATACTGAACCTGCCCAGAAGAGCACTGCAAATCGAATAGCCATAAAAGCAAACAAACATAAATTACACTGACTCAGTGAAAAAGCAAGCTTTTATACTGTATTTATTTTTTTAATGTGCCTCTATTAATTTTTTCAAAACCATAATTTTAGATTTGATTAGTTGTTGAGCCGGGTTAGAAGTTTTTATTTTAAAGTGGAAGAAAATTGTTGTGCCTGATTGGAACAGTGATGTTTCCATTAATATTTTATAGATAATTAAGTGTAGACCTATGTTAGAGGATACTTCCATCAATTTGTAATAGTATACACAAACTTTATAGTTTGAAATAAGTAACAAAAATAATAATTAAGCAGTTTAGATTGAATTTACTTATTTCATAAAACAGTACAACAGAATAAAGAAACTAAGTATTCTTTGGATTATTTAGGGACTAGACTTAAACTCAGCTAATGTGATTAAATGTTCTGTTAATGCCCCTAATTTTTTATTATGGTGTAATTGGCATGTAATAATATATTAGTTTCAGGTGTACAACATGTTGATTTTATATTTGTATATTATGAAATGATCACCACAATACATCTTGTTAACATTTGTCACCATACAGTTTTCTTTCTTGCGATGAGAACTTTTTAAGATTTACTCTTTTAGCAAGTTTAAAGTATTCAGTACAGTATTACTAGCCATAATATAATCATCAAGTAGTATGTTATATCTTTATCACTTATTTATGTTCTAACTGGAAGCTTATACCTTTTGACCCACTTGACTCATTTGCCCACACTGAAACCCCGTCTCTGGCAACCACCATTCTCTGTATCTATGAGCTTTTTTTTTTTAATGATTCCACATATAAGTGATATATATGGTGGAATCTACTTCCTCCTGCATATGGGTGGAACACCTAGCCAATCTTCCAATCTTCTGAGGAACAGAGTGAGCAGCCCAGGGTATTCCAGCATATATGAAGGTTGGAAGCCAAAACTCTAGAGGACATTGAAAAATCAGACGACAAGGAAAGTGCTTCAGGACAATAAGGTCCCTGGGATCAGTGCAGGGACCAGGGTGTCTGCAGCCCCAGGCCCAGAGCCCAGTGAGTCTGCCACAGGATTCTTGGGAGAGAGCCAAATCAATGGCACCTTCCCCTGCCAAACAAGGGGGTTTGAGCAGCATCAGGATGGACCTGGATGCTTGAAGTCAAGGTGGAATGGGGAATAAGAAGGAAGTGGCAAACACAGAGAGATGGTGGTGTACCCACTGAGACTGTGGACGCCAGCTGGGAAGAGTTGGAACATGATGGAGCCTGACCCTGATAGTCTATGGTCTGGTTGGAGATTTGGGCTGTGTGAGAGGCCAGGTGCTTAACTGGAGTGGCAGGCTTGAATCAGATGAATTTCTCAAAATGAAAAAATAAGAGGCACTCAGTGGCTGTTTATGGAATTCTCCCACAGCAGCCCCCTCTGTGATCTTGGTCTGTGCCTGTGCAGCCTCTGCAGCCTCACCTCTGCTCCCAGGACCAAGGCTGTGCCCCTACCCCATCCACAGCAACAGAGCACACCCAATTGCACCAGTTTCCCCAGTGTGTGCCACGGAACCAGCTGACCCCCATCCCACCTCAGCTGTTTCCGCAGCAGAAGAGACATGTGCTGGTATCTGTAGCAGCAATCATGTTGGCATCTCTGCCCTGCAGGTCAACTGGCTCACTAAGAGGGAGGCAGAGACGCCCAAGCACAGGAGAGCAGGGCTCTGGGAGTCAGCAATCCCCAGAAAGACTGAACACAGTGGGGGAGCCAAACTACCCTGAATCGAGTCTGAGAGTCCCTAGCATCTAGGACAGCAAGAGTGAGAAGGTGATGTGTGAGTTACCCTTAATAGGTACAACTCAAGGATAGCACAGTGGTTGGACTGAAGGTGTAGTCTGGGCAAAGAAGGGTACTAGGGGGCCTGGCAGTGAATTGAGAAATTGGGCTGGAGACTGGGCAACTGTGAAGAGTGCTGATCAGACCTGGTGCCCATCCCTGCCAAAGCACTGGAAGGTGAAACCCAATGTCCCTCAGCTGCCAGGAGCCAGGGAGACCAGAAGAACTCACTTGGCAGGTTTGAACCCAGCAGGAGGCTTTTTTTTTTCAATTCCTTCTTCCTTTCCTATTTTTTATTTCCTCAAGTCAGACAGTAAAACCTGGAGCTGTGAAAGGACCAGAGTTAGACCCAAAGAGGGGTCACCCCAACAACTGAGACAGTCAGACAAATTTCATTTTGTGATTCTAGAGAACTTGCAAATTATCATATATTTCTATTAGTTTTTCAACATTTGTACATCTTTTATTTTGTTAGTATTTTTTATTTCTCTTCTGTTTAGTCTTCTTTGGTTTGTTAAATTGCATTGTTTGGTTTTCCTTGTTCTGCCTTTCACAGTGTGTTTTTAATTTTCCTTCTTTCATTTCTACATGTGTTCTAATAGCGCACTACTCTAGGTCATGTACTTCCCACTCTTGTTATTAAGATCACATAGATTCCATCATATGATTTTTGCTTCATTACTATTGTAAATAATTGCTGTTCCATATAACTGTAAATACTACACAGCACCCCTCCTGGATCATAGCTCACTTCACTATATCAGAAACTTTATTACTGTTGTGGTTAACTCTATTCTCTTGTACACTACACCTATTTTCTATCCTTTACTCTCACTATACCTCATAATCTGACATCCCACAAGCTCACTGCTCTCACAGTCTTTCCCTGCCAACAACAGTCTTACCTTTTTTCCTCCCTTTCTAAAAAGTGGCTATTTGGGTGAAATATGGTTAACACTATGCTTATCCAAAGGATCTCCAGTCTCTTCTCTATGGGTTGGTACTTTAAATTATACTATAGAATACACTCCTGCTGTCTTACTCTGTTTTGCCTCCAACTGATCACAAAAAAAGTGTAGGAGGGAGCTGTGAACACCAGTATACCTGCTGAAAGGGAGAACCCACCAAGAAAGGAACCCTAACAGATAATAATGGAAAAAGGTGAAGGAGTGAGTGGAAGCCAAAATAATCTCCACCCAGCACCATCTGGAAATACAACCAAATTGTGGAAAAATTACCCAGAACAAACAACTGAACAATAGTGAGAGAGAAGCCTCAAAACATCATACAGACAGAAGAAGAAGCTTCAACACAACCTGTTCACACCTGCACAACAAAATACAGAGGTGGTAGATGGACTGACACTTAGTTAACCAGCTGGAGGGAAGGATCCATCAAAGAAAGATCCAACAACAATCAAAACCCAAATAAGTACAGAGAGCCAACATAAATGACAGTCCAAGAACAGCAAGCTCCCAAGATCAAGGGGACTGCACTACTGTATCTTGCAGAAAAAACTGATATTGTATCTCAACATAGAAGTTGATACCATAAACGCAGGAAGTCAGAGAGATCAATTTAAGAAGCAGAGGATAACAAGAAGAGTCTCACAAACAATGGAAAGACAAAGAAACAATCACCAAATGAAAGGAAAGGAGGAAGCCTCAGAAAGAATGTTAGATGAAATAGAGGCAAGCCAACTGTCAGACAATGAGTTCAAAACAATGGTTATCAGGAAGCTCAATGAGATCACAGAGAATTGCCAGAAACTACAGGGAAACTACTATGAATTCACTGCAAACTATATCAACATGAAAATGGAAATAGAAATTATTAACAAGGGCCAAGAGGAAATGAAGAATACAATTTATGAATTGAAGACTACAGTAGAAGAAATCAAAATTCGTCTAGATGAAGCAGAAGACTGGATCAGTGAGCTGGAGGACAAGGTAGAGAAAAAACACCTGGAAAGAGCAAGAAAAGGAAAAGAGACTCAGGAACAATAAATAGGGGTTAAAGGATATTCAGGACAACATGAAACATAATAATATTCGTATAATAGTGATACAAGTAGAAGAAGATGTGAGCAAGGGACTGAACACCTGTTTGAAAAAGTAATGATGGAAAACTTCCCTAATTTGAGGAGACAAGAAGTCACACAAATTGAGGAAACACAGAGAGTTCATATCAAGAGGAACCCAGAGAGGCCCACTTCAGGACACATAATAATTAAAATGCCAAAATTCTAAGACAGACAGTTGTAGAGGTATAAAAGGAGAACAGGAAGTAACATATAATGAAGCCCCAATAAGACGAGCAGCTGATTTCTTCAGCGGATTTCTCAAAAGAGACCTTACAGGCAAGAAGGGGCTGGAAAGAGGTATTTCAAGTCATGAAATCCAAAGACCTACAACCAAGATTGCTCTATCCAGCAAAGCTTTCATTTAGAATGGAAGGACAGATATAGTGCTTCTCAGATAAGATCAAATTCAAGGAATTCATCATCACCAAGTTCTTATTATATGAAATGTTGAAGGGACTTACCTAAGAAAAAGAAGATAAAAAAGGTGAACAGTGAAAGGACAGCAAACTCACAGTTATCAACAACCACACCTAAAACAAAAACAAACTAAGAGGACAGCTAGATCAGGAGTGGAAACATAGAAATGAAGATCTCAAGGAGGGTTAGCAACAGGGGAGTGGGAGGAGGAGAAGGGGGGAGAAGGTACAGAAAATAAGTAGCATAGACAGTAGATAGAAAATAGATGGGGGGAGCGAGAGAGTAGGTGGAGGGAGGGGGAATAGAGCAAATGTAATGGCATAATCAATTAAAAAATAAAAAAATAAAAAAAAGAAACTAAAATAAATAAATAAATAAATAAAATTAAAAAAAAGAAAAAAATAGATGGGGGGCAAGAATAGTATGGGAAATACAGAATCTAAAGAACTGGAGACATATGGTCATAAACTAAAGGGAGTAATGGTGGGGACGGGGGGGTAGGGTGGAGGGGAATGAAGGGGGGAATAGAACAACTGTAACAGCATAATGAATAAAAAAATAAATTAAAAAAAAAGTTTTCATGTGGGTTACCTGTGTTGATGGCCTCTCCTGTGGTTCAATATTTCTCTTCCACTGAGAATATTTACTAAGATGGAGCCTTGAGAGCTGATGGAGAACATCTTTTCTACAACACTGGTGCCACAGAACAGTCAGCCCACACAAACACCAGGAACCAGCACCCACTCAGAACCCCAAACTATATATCAATTACAAAGATGCTGAGCAAACAACTGATATAGAAAAACACACGGACTTGAGTAAATGTCCTTTCTCATGGGAGAAGTAAAGGAGAAAATACATCTCTGACACATTCAGCAAAGAGTTAAGTGTTCTGGGCCATCTTCCTTAATGTGTGAGTACTAAGAGAGTCAAGAACGTCACCATGGATATATCTGGCTGCATCTGCCCATTATTTGTATTGAACAGGTTGCTACAGGATGTTTTTTTTTCTAGTCTCATTATGTGTGTGCAATGACAATTAAGTAACAGGAATGAAAACTAAAAAGGAACAATATCTGCCCCTGCTGGGTTTAATCTCATTAGTGTAAAATCAAATGACTAGTCCTAAAAGTGTTCCAACAGGCAGCCAAGACAGCACTAAAGTTGCAAGTATCTTTTGCATCACAAGGAGAAAATGAATCAGAATGGCTCACTCTATTGAAGACACCAGAGCCATTTCTATAACAAGACCATATTATGGATTGAATAGCACTGTGTCTCTACCTACTTGAACAGCAGGAAGACTACCATGACATATATCCCAGACTTCAAGTTCACAGCATAAAATACCATCAAGCATTTTAAGGACAGATGTCATATTTCCTTGGGTTGACTGTGAAACCTGGGAGATGCTTATTTTGCAGTGCTTGATGGCTTACATAATCTTTGAGCATGAGGGTTTTTTTCTAATTGACCAAACCAGCCACCTATAAATTAAATTTACCAGCAGCACTGAGTAGCTCTCAGAGAAAAATGCAAAATGGAAAGATCTGTCCAATGTAAGCCTCAGAGTGCATTTAAAATTAAAGGACAGAGCATCTGGGAAGCACATCAGCCAATACTGGTCCTTAGCTAAGCCTCTGGGAGAATATCAGTTTTTCCTTTCCCTCAGAAATGTTGAGAAATGTCAGCTACAGCTGTTTTGAATCAAGATGATTCAAGAAGTCTTGGGATGGAAGTCCATGCAAAAAAAATGGCCCCCATAGCCGGGGGGCCAAGCCCAGAGCATTTTCCTCAGTGATACACTGACATGGAGCTTTATTTTCTGAGTACTTTTATACTTAATCCTACTATTCCTTCACTCTGAAAAGCAGAAAAAAAAAGGCATGCCAGTATTTCAGGTGGTGAAAGTGAGGCACAGATATGAATCCCAGGCATATCGATCATCTTTAATTAATTGTCCCACTGAGCTCACCAGTCCATGGAAGCCAGGTACACATGTGCCAATATCTATCTAGAAAAATTTCATTTGGCATGAGCCATGGACACTACGCCCTTCCCTGACTGGGCCTGAAAAATGAATTACTTTGCCTGCCCAAGATAGAAAACATCAAACATTTCTCCAGGCAAGGACCAGTGAAAAGTAAACTGCCAGATCAAGCAACCTTTAACAGGAGTCCAGAGTTAGGCCTCGGGGTGGGGGAGGGTCTCTCTGAATCCTCTACAAATATGAGCAAAAGTGTAAAAAATGTGCGTGTGTGAATTCATGAGAAAAACTTTGTCAGATTATTTACCTTTATGACTGGGAGAAGGTTAAGAATCCTGATATCTACACATAAAGAAACCCCATGTTATTCTGGAGAGGCTGAAAAGAAAGCGAGTGCTGTGGGGGCAACTTTGCCCTCAAGTCTCCCCATGGGCCATGGATAAAACTAAACACTAGCAATACATGATCTGCTTGGGGAGGAGAGGTGGCCAGTTTCTCAGAAAAAAAAAAGACCTTGAGCCCCTTCCTTCAGAGGCTTTAATTGGGTTGTAATACACAGGAATACAAGGCAGCAAGGATCAAAAGTAGAAAACATTTTAAAGAAATATTGGGGCTTTGTCTGAGTCAGAGTCTGTCAGGAAGGGGATTTTGCAGAAACTTTAGGGTTTCCTGATCCGACCCTTAACATATGAATGAAAACACTCTTAGCAAAGCAGGTTTCACAGGATTTTAAAGGAATTCTTTCTTATGCCAAATTTCCCCCAGATTCGCTCTAAGAAGGTAAGGAGCTGCACTCCTTGCCTTGCTAGAAGTGAGGGAGGACCCCATCAGGTTTTCAGTCTTCAGTGGATTAGAGCCAGAAAGCACTTCTCCCAGATGTCATGGGGGATTTAGGCTATGTCACATAGCTGGGGGGCAAGGGTCCATTGCTCACTCTTTGTTGCAGCCCCCTGAGTCCTTCCATGATGGCCTCCCAAGTGATTGAGTCTGGCTTAGGTTGCCCCTCTCTCTGTGAGGAGTCTTACCCATCACCGACTTCCAACCATGCTTTGGGGGCAGGGAGTAAACTGAGGCAGCATTCACTACCAGAGACAGGTTTTTGTCTCCTGTGGCTCAAATTCCGGAGGTCGCTCACTTATCCTTAGCCATGGGGGGTAGTTACAACTCCTGAAACTAGGCAGAGCTGTACCCCAATGGTGTACAGTTAGGAACATTTGAAGAGAGAAAGGCTCTGTGTAAGATGCCATGATCCCACTCATCAAATCTGGAACATGGTCAATTCTTCAAAGCAGTGGAAACCTCAGGGGGCAAGATACTGTCAAAAGGAGGCAGTGGTCTGCACTGGAAGAGCATAGAGTTTTGGACTTTGGCTTAGGTTTGCCAATATTAACCACATGATCTTAGTCAAGGTATTTAATATTGCTTATGTGGTGTTTCCTCCTCTTTACAGAAAAGAATAAAAATATGACAAAAATGAAGAGTCCCACCATTTAGCATTGTTGCAAGGATTCAGTGACATGATATAGGTCAAGTTCCCAGCAAATAGAAGACCCTCAATAAATGTTTCACTTCCCCTTCCCGTGTTTAAATGCCTTAAGAAAGGATAATAAGAAGGGGAAAATAAGGAAGGGAAAGGAAAGGAAGGGAAGGGAAGAGAAGAGAAGGGAAAGGAAGGGAAGGGAGGGAAAAAGAAGAAGCGAGGGAGGGAGGGAGAAAAGGAGGGAGGGAGAAAAGAGGGGAGGAGGTAAGGGAGGGAAGGAAAAAAATTGACCCTGCCCCTGGCCTGGAAAAATTGTAAGGAATCAAAACAAGAGGGTCAGTCTGTGGCCTGATAATAGAATAGAAAAAGGACACAAGGACTTTACAGAATGAAGCAAGCAGAGGACAGGGCCTCAGGTATCCTTGGATCAACACCAGCAAATAGGAACCTAGAAAGCTGGACTCAAACTCAAACCTCAGATTTCCTGGTCCAGTGATCTTATTTCTCCCTAACTCCTGTTCCCACATAACTTTCTTTTTCATATTTGTGTTCTCTCCCTCTCCATTTAAGTGTAAGGCAGGGATGTCAAACTCATTTTCACTGGGAGCCACATCAGCCTCACGGTTGCCTTCAAAAGGGCCTAATGTAATTTTAGGACTGTATAAATGTAACTACTCCTTAACTAGGGGCAAGGAGCTTAGTGCTGCCACTGGGTAGAAACAAGGTGCTGGGCTGAATAAAACAAGGTGGACAGCCAGATTTGGTCTGCAGGCCTTGTGTTTGCCACCTGTATTATAAACAAAAGATCAGAGTATTGTTTCCCCCAACTCTGTCAATGTAGTGTATTGCCTAATAGTCTTACTTTTTTAACCTGTATGAGGGATGAAAAAGAATTTTTGTCACTGTTTTATTTTGATACCCATTTATTATGAAAAAAGTTGTCCATCTCTTAATGTGTTTAACATCTTTGAGTTAACAGTGGTGACCAGAAGAAGAGTGTCTTGCAGACCTCCGACTTCAGGGAATGTAACTGATCAAGGGTCCCAGCAGGTATCCTTTGTTCCCAGCCAATAACTAAGTATGGCAAAAGACTCCTCAGATAGTGATTTTGGCTGAATGACTCCCAACAATTTTGCAGAAGTTTTGTGTAGACTGCATCACAGTTTAGGACACTTACACTCAAATTTCTTTTCTTCTCTCCTTCACTTAGTATCAGACTCGCAACTGTGATCTGAGGCCTGGCCTCACCTCTCTCTACTCCTTTCTCTTTCCCTCTCCTATGCATTTCCCCTTGCACTTTTAATCCTGTAATTTTTTTAATTTTCATTTTATTTAAAAAAATTTTTTAATTAATTTTATTTAGTTATTTTTCTTTTTTTAAAATTTTTTTATCATCGTTCAAGTACAGTTGTCTTAATTTTCCTCCACCACTCCCACCCACCCCAGCCATCCGCAATTCCTACCCTTGATCCTACCCACCTTTGGTTTTTGATATCTACTCAGAGGTCTAGACTAACACAGTAACTGTTCATATACTTTCAACATCATTTGATTGTTGTACTGAACTTTTCTATTGATATTTAGGTGTTCCTAATATAGTGATAGCTTAGCTGTTTTCTGTCATGTGTTCCAATTATCCTTCCTTAGTTGGTGTTGGATCTATAGCTTAGTTTATGATATTTTGTCCATGTCAAAGCATATGTAGGATTTCTGAGTAATAAATGAGAGTCTCTATAAAGGTGTAGATATAACTCCTCTTGAT